CGTCGCATCATCCAGGTGGATGCTGCACATTGGTGGTGGTGGTGGTGGAGGGGAGTCCCCATTACCTGTAAAGCGCTTTGAGTGGAGTGTCCAGAAAAAGCGCTATATAAGTGTAAGCAATTATTATTATTATTATTAAAACTACTGTCCATAAGCAATCCTCAAGTAACTTGAGAGTGCTTGAGCCAACAGGAAAATTACAGCAGGCCAGTTTGAAAAGTTGATATAGACTTAGACCAAAAAACTTGCAGCTATAATTGTAGACAAACCCACCTAATATTTAATTCACAGATCTGAATACTTATGCAATCAGCAGATTTTTCTCTTTAGGATTTGCTGATATTGGCTGTAATCTACTGTATCTAAATGTTAAATAATAATAATTCCTAACACTTTCATAGCACTTTTCTGGAAACTCCTCAAAGCGCTTTACAGGTAATGGGGACTCCCCTCCACCACCACCAATGTGCTGCCCCACCTGGATGATGCAACCACAGCCATAGTGCACCAGTATGCTCAGCACACATCAGCTATCAGTGGGGAGGAGAACAGAGCAATGAAGCCAATTCATAGATGGGGATTATTAGGAGGCCATGATTGGAAATTTGGCCAGGACGCTGGGGTTCCACCCCTACTCTTTTCAAGAAACGCCCAGGAATATTTAATGGCGTTCTGCTGCAGTATGGTACAGAGTCCCCATTACCTGTGAAGCGCTTTGAGTGGAGTGTCTAGAAGTGAGTAACCAATTATTATTGTAACGCAACGGGGGCTCAGGCGGGCGCCCTTGCTGCATCTGGTCGGCCCCTGCACCGTCCGGGGCTCGAACCCGACTGGAGGTTCGAACCCGGGACTTCCGCGTCTCTCTGCAGCGACCTAGCCCCGTGAGCTAAAGAGAGATCTCTCTACAGCCCAGTAGATGTAGTCCTGCTATCACAGGGAAGGGCGGTGACGTCACCCGCTCTGGTACGCCGGCTCTTACACACAGTGCTTGTCGGCCGTAAGCGTTACACTCTCCCCTGCTTAAATCGCCGTCCCCGGCGAAGGGCTATCCCATCCCACTTCTGACACCACGGCAAGGGCGCCCACCTGAGCCCCCGTTGCGTTACATTGGTGTCTGTAGAGTGTAACGCTTACGGCCGACAGGTACTGTGTAAGAGCCGGCGTACCAGAGCAGGTGACATCACCGCCCTTCCCTGTGATAGCAGGACTACAGCTACTGGGCTGTAGAGAGATCTCTCTTTAGCTCACGGGGCTAGGTCGCTGCAGAGAGACGCGGAAGTCCCGGGTTCGAGCCTCCAGTC